CTAACATTATTAGAAGTTGATATTTGTGTTGGTTTAAAATTGCGGTGCCATGTAACCAAAATCCAACGTCTTCCACACGTCTTATGCCAATGTTTTAGGCCATGGTGTCAGATTTTTTACCTTCATGAAACAAAATTCTAACGTCAATAGACTATGACATGTTGTTGGCTCTAACTCAGACAGCAGACTGTTCTGGGCTGATTCTGGCTTAAATCCGTGAGTGTTCTTGACTTCCAGATAGATATTAGCCAGATGCTGGACAGCTGTGTATGGTTTTAAGTCACATTTACGTTTAAGGGCCAATTCTAGCGTGAACGTTATGGCCGATCAATGTGGATGAAGGAAGAGGGCCACAGCACAATTAAGTTGCAGCAGATTTGTGCTCAGTTGATTTACACCTCAGTACTTTTGACCTATGTCTGATATGTCATAAGTAGCTCACCCAAATAGCAGACAGTTCTGGGCCAATTCTGGCTTACATACCCAAGTGTGGGCCAGAATTGGGCCAGATGCTGGACAGCTGTGCATGGTCTTAACTTGTATCTACGTTTAAGGGCCAATTCTGACATGAATGTTGTGGCCCAACAATGTGGATGAAGGAATAGGGCCACACCTTTATGCTGCAGCAGATTGGCTGATTTACACCTCAGTACCTTTGACCCTAGTCTGGCATGTCATAAGTGCAACCAGTGTTCACCCTTTGAAGGTTAAGACCCTCATTTAATGAATTTTCCAGCACAAGTTCACCATTTTCATATGGACAAGCTGGCAGCTAGGTTTGAAAAGTAGGCAAATGGAAGAGTAATAATTGAATAATTTCAAATTATAAGGTTCCAGTATGGAAAATGAAAAGTTATAACTAACTTTCTAACAGTACCATTTTAGCATAACACTTGAAAAGCACAGGGTAGCTAGGGTAATGTAATGGCTATCAGCACAAGGTTTAGCTACATTACCCTTAATTGCTAATTCATCATGGCTAATGTTAACTTATTCCTTAGCTAACGTTAGCTAACTACTCTGAGAATTTAAAAGGAATAGCCTGTGCTTTTTGAGTGTTATGCCATAATGGTACGGTGCTTTAATTTGAAGTTAGGACATTAGCTCAAAGTTAGCACGTTAGCTTGGGTCTAGAGCGTTTACTCTGGGCTAGCACATTGTCTTGTGACAGCAGTAGCAGGTCCTCTCGTCTGCACACACATCATCCTTCTGTGAAAGTCAGTAGGACTAGAAAACTGTTTAAAAATGGATGCTGTCATTGTTAAAATGAGGCAATATTTCCTGGTTCATATGAGAGTTCAATGCCAGGAGTGCTTTACATTAGTTCGACCTGTAAGTAGCTTAATTTTGATTATGGGTTCCTTAATGTTTGTTAGAACAAAAACTTTCTTGTTGTTACAGATCTTACAGTTGTGGAGTTCCTGCCTCATTATTCAGTTTCTAAAGTAAAACCCATGCCTTCCAGACAAGCTGTTATTGGAGCTCTGTGACTGCTTACAGTGAAACAGCTACCAAAGTGACTGAGCATATTCAGTCTGTAGAGGGATCTGTTGGAAATGCTGATTGTGGTGTTATTCCAGATTACTAGGTAAAGGGATTTGTTGTACAGTTTGACACAAAAACTGTGTTATCTGGAAATCAGTTAAATAAGTAAATAATAGTTGAATGCATTTCCTCTTTTCTTAGGCATCAGAAAGTGGACAGATTTTGATTTATCCAGCTTTGTATTTGTTTACTGTGGGAAAAAAAACCCTCCAGTAATCATATGAATTAATGCAGACAGAATCAGAAAACAGCTGTTTATCAAATTAAACCGTGAAACAGTGTCTCATACACAGTTGGCTTGATCTCATGTATGCATGTATTTTATGAAGGCACATTGAATGGACACCTATACTTCAGGGACATACACAAATGTTTTTTATTCCACAGACTGCTTAAGTATGATTTTTTTAGACGTTTGCCATCTCTTATTTAAAATAAAATGTCTGTGAAATTACATTTGAACAGTGTTCCAAGGTAGATGTCAGATTTAGCCTGTATTTCAGTGGCCTCTCCACTTTGCTCAAGAACGACCTGTCATTCATTCATTCCTTCATTCATTTACTGTATACACCTTTATATATACTACAGTATATGGGCCAGAGCTGGACCAGAGCCCTTAGTTCTACCCACTTTACAGTATGTTGGCCAGATCTGGGCCACATTTATTAGTTCTACTCACTTTACAGTATATGGGCCAGAGTTGGGCTACATCTGTTAGTTGTACTAATTTTATAGTGTGATAGTGTGTTGGCCTCATCTGGGCCACATCAATTAGTTCTTCTTGTTTTACAGTATATGGACCAGATCTGGGCTGAGGACCCAGCCAGAACTGGGCCAAAACAAAACTAAAGATGAGATAAATTTTGCTAACTGGGAAGTCACAGTGTTAACTAACCAAAACCTAACATCTGCTAAACGTTACAGTGCTAAAGTCCTTCTAATGTGGGATACAGACAACTTTAGACCCTGGTATTTTGTGGGATGTCAGTTGTGGTGTTGGGTAAACAAAATCAGTCTGTCAAAATGTCTCATACCAACTTCATACACATACTGCTGTTCAATAACTTAAATATATTTATACAAACATAAATATGGTTATGTCATACCAATAAACTGTGATGTTACTGCTCTTTTAATAAATGTATCTAATGTGTTTTCCTGCTGCACGCACAACCACAGGATACGAATTTCGGTGAGAGCACTACAGAGCGACAGAGTGGCATGTTTTGACGGATTGGTCACTCAAAATTCAAGTCACAATAGTTGCAATAGTAGGGTGAGGAGGAGGAGAGGGGCGGGGCGCCGTTTGAAAAACCGCGGACGACACTGAATATGCGAACCGAGAGCGATGGAGACAGACACACTGACACACCAACTGGGTAAGTATTCAGTAATTATAATTTATTTATACAGAATTTATACAGAAATGTGTGCTTTACTGAAGTTTAGTCGAGCTAATAAGTTTAGATCGACTAACCTGAACCTAGGTTTCTGTTACCAGCTAATGCTAGCGCCAAATTAGCCCGGCAGTGTTAGCTAGCACAGCTACCGCACTGTACTTAATCAGTGAAGGTAAAGTGGGTTTTTGAGGCTCAGGTGGGTTTGTAGTGTGAAGTCAGACGGTTTGAATGAAGCGCAGACAGGCAGGCGGTGCATGTTATTTGTGGCAGTGTAAGCTGAAGCTAGCTAGGTTTCCGTTAGCGGCTAATGCTAGCGCCATATCAGCTTGTCAGTGTCAGCCTAGCTAGCATCCTGTATCGGAGCGCTGGAGGGAAAACTGGGTTTGTGATGCGGGGTTTGTAGTGTGAAGCTGGTCCATTTGGTTGGAGCGCAGCCAGTCAGGCAGGCAGGTTGTTTGCACCGTTTTTAAAAGTCACTGACGTGCCTGCAGCGTCTGACCCGTGTTTTACTGACCGGTTGGCAGCTGCTGTTTATTTCAGAGAGAGACTCGCTCAGAGAGATACTTCCTCTCTTTCTTGAGTAAGTTATTTTGAGAGCATGTTTGCAAGGCACGTTTAGGTCTCAGGGAAAAGGGTTCGTGTATCTTTTGGTCATTCGATTTTCATCTCAAATCCAGTTTTGAAGAACAGGAAAATGGGTCAGTTGTTGTTTTTGGTTCTGTTATTGTCAGTGGAAAATAAAGAAATAGTTTTGATTGACAGTTTCGCAAACGTATCATAAAATAATAATAAAAAACAGAAGAGGAATAAGGGGTTGTATTTTATGTATTTAATTTTAACATTTTCTATCACTTAAACAATAAATAAATAAAATATATCCTATCAGGAAGAAATCTTAAGTGATCTGGGGAAGAGACTCTACAGAACTCCTGCCATTTAACAGCGAAATCAAAGAGAAAAAATGAGTCACGCTGCCCAATAATGATGAGAAGAATGAATACTGTGATGTCACACTGTCAGATGTAAACAGCTCCAGACTTAAGAATTAAAGCTGTGAGCTGTCCTGTGTGCAGATTGTTCTTATAATACTGTGGCAGCTGCCACTGGCTCTGGTTTTGGGAGGGAGCTTTAGAGGCATGTTATGTAGAGCTGCGCAGTGGCTCCGCACCCGTAAAAAGGGACGTTGTCGTGGTTTAATGATAATGTTGTTTTGTAAGTCTAAAATGTATGTATGTGTTATTTGTGTTATTCTGTAGCCTCTCCTGTGTCTCCTTCTTTATCAAGACACCTTCATTACGACAGAAAGCCATTCAGTCCTCCGAGTGCAGCACCGACAACCAGAGCCTTCCTTACATTAAACTAAACTCTCACTGAGAGAGGAGACTCTGTGTTGGGCTTTAGGTCCTGTTCTGCTGTTTGTTGTGAAGAATTGTTTGTTTGTTTGTTTTGTTTGTTTTTTGATTTTATGATTAGTTTGTGAAACTGTAAAACAAGGCAAATTTTTAGTGTTTGCACTGACAAAAACAAAACCAAACGAGAATTGACCCATTTTTCAATGCTGGTTTTGAAATGACAATCGAATAACCAAAAGATACACACACTGAAAAGGTTTCTCTTCTTTTTTTATTTATTTTTTATTTTTTTTTGTGGTAGTAGTATTGGTAATGCATCCCACTTGTGTGCATTTCTGTGATCTATCCCCCCAGGAACGTGATGTCACGGGCAGGTGGGCTTGAAGTAAAAGCCACAGTAATGTTCCAGAGTGAACAGAACGGCACGAAAAAGATCAATAAGGTCAAGATTAACGAGTGCCATCATTAGATTGTGATGTCGGTAAGTTTACTGTTACATTAACATTTTATCATTTTATTTAGTTGCTTGAAAGTCAACAATAGCCAACTTTCAGTTATGTTGTGCAAGCTGGCAGCACAACAATAACCCCTGCTGAATAAAGACCATTAGAACCAGTAGGATTAAAACCTAATGGTTTTTGCCCCCTAATGGGAATTAGCTTAATATTTACCAATAGAGACCAAGTGAAGAATTAGAAATGTATCTGGAATCTGTCACTAGATCACCTGTTACATCGTTAGGATCCTTTACATTATCAACCCATCAAGAAAAGCCAAAACACATTACAAACCCCCAAGAACCAACAGAAACTCTTAATGTTTTTGATTTTTTTTTTTTTCATCAGGGACATTATAATCCACATTATAGTCCATTATTGCACATTTAATTTAAATAATGCTTGGTGTGGAGCAGATTGTGTAGAGCAAGTTCAAGTCGGGCATCACAAAACCGCGAGACAGTACTCTATACAAATCATAAAAATCGGTACATTTGTGCATATTTTTAAACGCTCATTAAGTAAACATGTAAAAACAATATTAATTTAGAATGCGTAACGTCTTTACAAATACTGGTGTATTTTCACCATTGAGTCATATCCATCAATGAGAGAAGCCATTCTACAGACATATCAGCCAATGAAAGTTAAGGGGGTGTTCCTGATGTGGGCGTTCTCATTTTATGGAAACGCCTTTCATTACCGTTCGACACTATTGTTTGGATTAGCTTAGAAGTGAGCGGCGGCACTGACCTCCAAAAGTTGTGATTATCAGTATCAGCTGTATTTGTTTTCATTTGTAACGTTACAGATATGGTTACAAGTTGCATGTTCTGAGTTCTGATGCACAGTGGGGTGGCTTATTATCATAAGGCATGAATTCTAGTTCTGTTTGATGGCTATTTAAGCAATAGAACACGATCGTCAAGATCGTGTGTTATTGCATAATAATGTCATAGCTATGATTTGATATATGATTAGATTATCACAGCCGTGATGTTATTCGCGATAACACACGACCTTGAGCGTTCTATTGCTTTTATACAATGGTTTCTACAAAATAAACAAACAAAATAAATCGAAGAGTTTCATACTGAATATGCTTTAATACTGACAATACCTTCTGCCAAAAAGTAGTTCTACAACAAATGAGTTGTTGGTATGCAATGGTAATAATTCCCTAGACCAGGGGTTGGCAACGTGGCTCTTTTACTGCCCTGTTGCAGCCCCACAGCAGAATTAGATTTTTAGGTAAAAAAAATAATACTCATTTGCAGTAAAATAAAGCTCTGCTGATCATTCAACACAGTTTAACAATAAATGGTCTTAAACTCTGGAGTTAATGTATAACTGCTAATTCACCCTTTAACCCTGAAGATTGGTGCGCAGACTGCTGGTCACCATATTAACACACAACAAACTCACCTAGCTAGTAGCTAACGAAACGGCAGAGAGAGAGATTTAAGACGAACATTGATAATTTGGAGATGAATGGACTTATTTGCAATTATAAACACTCCAGCTGGTTTCCTGATACGTTTAATCTGTAACAAGAAACTGCCAAACCCTAAAGTTGCAAAGCTGAAGTCAGTTTCTCATTCAGATTTTCCCGTTCCACCTTAAATGATGCAGCAGTTACATTCTGGTACCTCAGGCATCATTTAAGGTGGAATATGAAAATTTGAACATGAAGCTGGCGAATGAGAAGCGACTTCAGCCTCATTAAAAAATCAAATATTTAGATTTTTCAAAAACTATTCCTTTTGAGGAAAACTTTCCTGCTAGAGATGTGAGAAAAGCGGCTATAGCTGAGCTAAAGCTTAAAGCAGAGCAAATTAAGCATGTGTTTTCGTTTATATTATATTTTTTAGCCTATACTAGGACATTAGCACGTACTGAGACATATTTACAGCCAAGATGGTAAAATTGACATTGTTGTGGCTCCCAAGGTGGTTTGATTTTTGTCGAAAGGCCAAAATGGCTTTTCTCAGCGTTTGGGTTGCCGACCCCTGCCCTAGCTTGTTGTGCCCTGTGCACAGCCCAAGATAACTGCTGATACTATAAAGTTCACCTTTTGTGGTACAGATAGAGCCATAGAACTGTAGAAATATCAAGGTTCAGAATTTGATGTGCGTCTGCAGTCACACTCTTCTGTCCTAACAGGTTGCAGGTCAAATGTTATCTTAAAATCATCCATCTGATCAATGTCTCATTTTGTATGAGCACAAATACAAAACAACTTAGGTTTGCATGCATAAAGCCTGTAAACTTGTTACTTGGCAACACGTCAGTGGAGTGATACAGTTTTGGTGTGGAAAAAACAGTGCTGTTGTCACAAATATCAGCACGATTACAACACTTCTCAACCAATCAGCTCAGAACCAGGTCGGAACCAAATGTTGCATAATTATTAGTAGTATGTGGAGCAAATGAGACTGTCTAATATAGTCTAATACATAACCGGTGTATACTGATAAATCAGTGTGATGAGTCAGTTATTAATCTCAGTGTTACTGAACTGCTTTGAGGGATGATTAAACTGAACAGTCTTCTGAGTAGTTTAATTGTTCACAAGTGATAAGCGATAGTGTTGTACTGGACTTCTGCATGCATTTGGCCATGTTACATATAACATTATTAACTAAAAATGATACAGCTACCCACGTTACTGTCAAATTAGCAATACAATAGATTTTGTTATTGGGATATGGCAAATTTTAGGTGAAAGGGTAGCATGATTATAAGAGCAATAGTGGACTGAAACAGGCCTTGAGAGCCAAAATAATGTTGGGAATTTTGTAATCATTTTTGCATTCATTTGAATAATTAAATTTTTTCATGAAACATTAACAAGAATTACATATACTGCCAACCAGTAAGAGTAAGGAACAGTGTGAAATAAAAAGTACTGCAGAGGTTTTCTCAGATACTCTAATGTATATGTATTCCAAATGTTTTCTGAATACATTACTTTCTTAAGTATTGTAATGCGGGGGTTCTCAACCTTGTCCACCTCAAGGCCCACCTGTTTATCACTAGAAAGCAGGAAGGCCCACAAGTTTTGCTTAAAATTGTCATTTTTGGGAAATTTTCAATACAGTGATAAGTGGGGGGCTGCTCTTGCAATATGTGATGTATATCATCCATCCATCCATCCATCATCTAAACGGCTTATCCTTCTGGGTCGCGGTGGGGCGCTGGAGCCTATCCCAGCTGTCATTGGGCGGAAGGCAGGATACAACCTGGACAGGTCGCAAGTCCATCGCAGGGCAGACAGACAGACATGCACATTCACACACACATTCACACCTAGGGGCAATTTAGCATCTCCAATTGGCCTGACTGCATGTCATGCCTTTGGACTGTGGGAAGAAACCCACGCAGACACGGGGAGAACATGCAAACTCCACACAGAAACGACCCTGGTCGCCTGGCTGGGAATTGAACCCAGGCCATTCTTGCTGTGAGGCGACAGCGCTACCCGCTACCCACTGCGCCACCGTGCCGCCCCGTGATGTATATCAGTGAACATGAAATATATAAATATAATTATATATTTTAACTGGTGATATAAATATATAAATTAGCTGGTAAAGGAGTAACATGCACAGTTACACAGACATACACAGTCCATCTCTTGCTCAAATGTTGTTAAACTTCAGTAAAAAGATGTCAAGTTTGCTTTTGTCATGAAAGTCTAACAAAAGCGAGAGCAAAATGGATGCTAACAGGCTAGCCTGCTACCTAGCATTTTGCCTCGTCTATGTATTTGAAAGTAAAAAAAAACCCTTAAAATAAAGCTTTCAGCAGTCAATGAATCATATTTCAGAAATGACAACAGTTTCCCCACAGTTATTTCCCACCCAAGTAGTCTGTTTCACTTGGAAATATGTCACGTTAAGAAAAAAAGAAAGCGTTTTGATGTCCAATTCAACTTTAAGAGCATTTGAGTGTGTAGTTACGAGTACCATCTTAATAGGCTGTTAATAATCCTAATTTGCATATAAGCATTGCATATAAGAAGTCCTAGTTTAGGCTAATTACTTACCTGCACCCTATGTCATGGTCCATTACATTTTTCACATACTTTTAAATTGGCTCCTCTGATTGTAGTTTATAATCATCATTAGACAAAGACTGATTAGTTTTTCTTTGTCATTGCAGCTTCTGTCAAAAAGTGGTATAGCAGGGATCAGAACATATTTCCTGTGCCGTGGCAGACCACCTTTAACAAGCCCCTGGACAGTTTGGCAGTGGAGGCAACACGTCCAACCCAAAACAGTTAGGAGCACAATATTTATCCAATTTAACGATGTTTTTTTTTCTGTCTCTTTGAAAAATGTTGTCTTTAGTTGTCTTACTAAAATAAATAAGCAAATGTTTTATTGGTACTTTTTTGTCAGCTGTCTTATTTTGAGAGCAATTATGAATATATGATATAATGAATATAATATGTAAGCATGAATTCATGGTTGAAGTTAGGTTGAATTCAAGTCGCTGAAGAACGTTAGGGTTTGACGTCAGTCCGAACAGCTTGAAAAAGACATGTTTTCAAGGAGTCATTGCTTTGTGTTTTTTGTTGTTGTTTGTTTGTTTGTGTGTTTGTGTGTGTGTGTGTTTAATTTTTTGTATTTTATTTTATTTTTTTGAAGGTGACTTTCAGAAAGGCGTTAAGGTGGACACAGCTAGGATGGGGCAGCCATGGCACAGGTGGTAGAGCGGGTTGTTCACTAATTGCAGGGTTGGCAGTTCAATCCCAGACTCTTCCTATTGGCAACTGCAGTGCACTCGAGCAAGGCACCCAAATGCTCTGTCCGACGTTGGAGGTTGATGCACAGCCAACGCTGGGTTTTGACGTCAGCCTGATTTTCATTTGCAACCAAAATTCAACCTCTGTCCAATGTCGGATTTTGGCGTCAAGCTAACGTTGGGTTTTGGCGTCAGCCCGATTTTCATTTTCAACCAAAATTCAACCTCTGTCCAACGTCGGGGGTTGACGTCAAACCAACGTTGGGTTTTGGCGTCAGCCCGAGTTTCATTTTCAACCAAAATTCAACGTCTGTCCAACGTTGGAGGGTTGACGTCAAGCCAACGTTGGGTTTTGGCGTCAGCCCGATTTTCATTTTCAACTAAAATTCAACGTCTGTCCAACGTCGGAGGGTTGACGTCAAGCCAACGTTGGGTTTTGGTGTTAGCCCGATTTTCATTTTCAACTAAAATTCAACGTCGGAGGGTTGACGTCAAGCCAACGTTGGGTTTTGGCGTCAGCCCAATTTTCATTTTCAACTAAAATTCAACGTCTGTCCAACATTGGAGGGTTGACGTCAAGCCAACGTTGGGTTTTGGCGTCAGCCCGATTTTCATTTTCAACTAAAATTCAACGTCTGTCCAACGTCGGAGGGTTGACGTCAAGCCAACGTTGGGTTTTGGTGTTAGCCCAATTTTCATTTTCAACTAAAATTCAACGTCTGTCCAATGTCGGGAGTCGACGTCAAGCCAACGTTGGGTTTTGGCATCAGCCTGATTTTCATTTTCAACTAAAATTCAACCTCTGTCCAACGTCGGAGGGTTGACGTCAAGCCAAGGTTGGGTTTTGGCGTCAGCCCGATTTTCATTTTCAACCAAACTTCAACGTCTGTCCAACGTCGGAGGGTTGACGTCAAGCCAACGTTGGGTTTTGGCGTCAGCCCGATTTTCATTTTCAACTAAAATTCAACCTCTGTCCAACGTTGGAGGGTTGACGTCAAGCCAACGTTGGGTTTTGGCCTCAGCCCGATTTTCATTTTCAACCAAAATTCAACGTCTGTCCAACGTCGGAGGGTTGACGTCAAGCCAACGTTGGGTTTTGGTGTTAGCCCAATTTTCATTTTCAACTAAAATTCAACGTCTGTCCAATGTCGGGAGTTGACGTCAAGCCAACGTTGGGTTTTGGCGTCAGCCCGATTTTCATTTTCAACTAAAATTCAACGTCGGAGGGTTGACGTCAAGCCAACGTTGGGTTTTGGCGTCAGCCCGATTTTCATTTTCAACTAAAATTCAACGTCGGAGGGTTGACGTCAAGCCAACGTTGGGTTTTGGCGTCAGCCCAATTTTCATTTTCAACTAAAATTCAACGTATGTCCAACGTCGGGAGTCATTTTCAACCAAAATTCAACGTCTGTCCAACGTCGGAGGGTTGACGTCAAGCCAACGTTGGGTTTTGGCGTTAGCCCGATTTTCATTTTCAACTAAAATTCAACGTCTGTCCAACGTTGGGAGTCGACGTCAAGCCAACGTTGGGTTTTGGCGTCAGCCCGATTTTCATTTTCAACTAAAATTCAACCTCTGTCCAACGTCGGGGGTTGACCTCAAGCCAACGTTGGGTTTTGGCGTCAGCCCGATTTTCATTTTCAACTAAAATTCAACGTCTGTCCAACGTCAGGGGTTGACGTCAAGCCAACGTTGGGTTTTGGCGTCAGCCCGATTTTCATTTTCAACCAAAATTCAACGTCTGTCCAACGTCGGAGGGTTGACGTCAAGCCAAGGTTGGGTTTTGGCGTCAGCCCGATTTTCATTTTCAACTAAAATTCAACGTCTGTCCATCGTCGGGAGTCCAACGTCTGTCTGACGGCAAGTTGACGTCCTGTGCCTGCAGGGACACTATTGAGAAAACCAGATTGATATCAGTTAAATAATTCACAACAGAACAAATATGATCATGAACAGTGTGGCAAAATGTAAAGCTTACTATTTTTTAAATTAAGTTAGAGAACACTGGAAAAAATGTAATTCTCTCTTGAGTAACTAAAATGAATTTTCTTCTTACTTGAGCACTTTTTCTGGTAGAGAGATGAAGAGCATGTCTGAAGAGTGTGTGGCTGGCTTTGGTCTGCCATGACAACAAAAATGATTGATTATTACTGATTGCTGATTATATCATGAACTGCAATTCATAGAAAAGTCAATCTGTTACACGGCACTACCACTAATGGAATGATAGCACCAGTAAGGTAGATGGATGACCCAGTGTATCAGAGGCTCCGTGCACAGATAAAGATGACTAGAGGCCTGAGTACCCACAAGTGTTCTTCCTTTATTAATGATTAGCACACACTATTTACATCACGTGAGAGAAAGAAAAGGGTAACAAAAACAAAATGATTAAAAGAACTTGATGGGTTAGAACAACTTCAGTGATAAATGCAATGAATTCTAGACAGTCATTCTAGTTACAAGGAACACCAGCTATCCAAGGACTTTAGGTCAGAGGTTAACAGGGCAACAGCTCTGCCTCCTCTCTCACTGTGTATGACTCTCCCAGTACCATGAATACCACCCTTTAACCTGGTAGCCCCTCCCATACCTGGTCAGGAAGATACCACATCCATGCAAAAAGCAGTAACACAGATTCATAATATAGAGCAAATAAGTCATCGATTCCAACCTGTATATTAATTCATTCAGTGCTAGCATTGCTCATGTAGTATATACACATACATGTACAACCAAATTTCCAAAAAATGGGATGCTGTGCAAAATGTAAAGAAAAAAAAATGCAATGATGTGCAAATCATTTAAACCCTTAAAATTAAAAATTAAAATTCAGTTTTATTATCATTTAATTTTATTTATGTACATATTTATTTACTTTATTTCTTTACTGAGCCTAAACCATATGTTACCATATGTCATTACCTATTTAACTCTAACTCATTGAATTTATGTGTCATGCTTCCGGGTTCTCCTTCCTTGCCTAGCACGCTCCAGGACTCCATTTCCCATAATTCCAGTCCCTATGATGTCACCAGTTCCTCCAATCACGTGCAACTGCCTCGTTCTCAGTCACCTGAGTTTTAATGCGATTCACCTGTGTCTGTTGGTCTCAGACTTTAAATAGTCTTTGGTTTGCTCTCCTCATTGTGAGGTATTGCCATTTCCCTGGTTTACTGAGTGTTGTTATTCTGATTTCTTGACTTGTGTTTTTGAACCCATTGCCTGTTTTTTGGATTTTGCTTTTTGTCTTTGCCCTTTTGCTCTGGTTGCCTGTATGTTTTTTTGTCTTTTCTGGTTTTTGACTCTGGCCTGGTTTTTGGATTTCGATTTTGGATTTGCCCTGAAACTGTCTTTCCGTCTTCACCTCTCTCATTAAACAGACTTTTGTTTTTAAGATCTGCGAGCGTCTTCTTGTGCTTGTGCAGCGTTACAGAATACCTCGCCTCAACCAAGATGGCGGATCTGAGAGAGCTCCATGGTACCGTCACTAATCAAGGTCAGTTGTTGGCACAACTTAACCAGCTTTTTGAGTCACTGTCTGGGACTGGGCGCACTCACTCATCAACAACTGGAACAACACAATCAGCTTCTACAAATTGCTTCTGACATCAAATCTCTGTCTGCCCAGTTGAGTCAGTTAGTTGTTAAACCCTTGACTCCCTCAACTCCTGTAGGAAATAGCACAGTACCTGCACCAGCTCCCAACTCTGATGAATGTTTCCCGGTAAGCAAACCGGATAAATATGATGGGAGTCCTAACTTGTTCAAGGGATTTCTGTTGCAGGGCTCGTTATATTTTTCTAATTCCCCAGCTAGTTCTGACAGCAGGTGTATTGCATTTCTGATTTCCAGACTTACTGGTAAAGCCCTAGATTGGGCTACAGCAGTATGGCCATCCATTGAACAGAGCACTTACGCAGAATTTTTAAAGAGCTTTAGGGCTGTTTTTGATCACCCTCATGAGGATCGTTCTCAAGGTGAATTGTTATCACACATTCGCCAGGGTGCACGATCTGTAGCGGATTATTCTTTAGAATTTAGAACTTTAGCAGCCGGAAGTGGCTGGAATGAGCCAGCGCTGATTGTGACATTCCAAAATGGACTTAATTCTGAGATTTTGACTGAACTGGCCTGTAAGGATGATGGACTGTCATTGGATGATCTCATTGCTCTTGCTATTCGTTTGGATCAGTTAAAGCAGAGTTCAAAACCCAAAGTACATCGTCTCGCCTCACTTCATACCGCTCAATGAACTGGCCCATCACCCAAACCTGTGAAACCTGGTGTCCCCGTTGCTGAGCCTATGCAGGTGGACACCTCCCGTCTGTCCAAGGAGGAACGCTTACGCAGGCTTTATGGGGGTTTGTGTTTATACTGCGGAGAGGCTGGTCGTGTGCTACATGATTGTCGCCACCGTCCGAACAGACCTTAGGCGCCACTCCCAGGAAAGCGTGTGGAATCCATTCCACACGCTAATGCAGTGAGTGGTCATATGCTTACCATGATTAGTAAATCCTTTTTGATTCCTGTTACCTTGTTCTGTCGAGATTCTTCTATTGTCATTTCAGCCTTAATTGACCCTGGGGCCCAAGGCAGTTTCATCCAAGCAGATCTGATGAACCAGCTGGGAATAGAGATGGAACCACTGACAACACCGTTACGTCTTTCGGCTGTAGATGGTGGACCTATCAGACCAGGAAGTGTGACTCACAAAACATGACCTGTTAAGATGAACGTTAGTGCTCTCCATGCTGAGGACATTTGTTTTTTTTTGTGCTCGATACTACTGACTGTGCTGTGATTTTAGGTCTCTCCTGGTTGAAAACACACGATCCCAATATCTCCTGGTCACACAGAGAAATCTTGTCTTGGTCCTCCTATTGTTTTGAGAACTGTTTGCAAATCCCCACCATTGGTGCAAATTCAACTTCTGTGGAGAGTCCTGTAGTGGACACCCCGGTTAACATTCCACCTGAATATGTTGATCTCGCTGAGGTTTTTAACAAAGTTAATGCCATGAAATTGCCACCTCATAGAGACTATGAC